AGACCACTTGAAGGAGGATCTTGGCCGAGAACCTGTAGAAGCACCCGAAGCAGGAGCTTGTCCAAGGACCTGTGGACGACCTGTGTTGCAGCAGCTTGCAGCAGAAGCTGTGTCTCAGGACTGCTTGAACGAGAATCTGGCCGAGCACTTGTAGAAGCAATTGTAGAGGCCACCAAAACGGAGACTGGCAAGCAAGATTGCGTGCGCTGGCCCACACAAAACGCATTTGGACACCCCATAAATCGTTCTACACTATCACAAAGGGCCAGAGCCCCGATGGAGCACCTCGATCAGCACCGGGCCCCAACAACGACCGTAAGAAGCCCTGAGTGACTGAGTGTGCAGTGTGCGCCACACTGTTTTGGGTATGACATCGACACGAGTCCCTCCATTCTTGAAAGTATGTGTATGTAAAAATATAGAAAAAAGAAATAGATATAAATATATATATAGCATCATATATATGAGAAGCGGGAAAAACCCGTCTTTCTTCACTTCTTGGCTCACCCTTCCTCTCCCGTACGCGTCTAGAGCCGAAGTCCAGACCTGCAGGCCGCTGTTTCAATTTCAGTTTTGGGGCCCGATACCAAAGCAATGCGAAGAGCTGGTGTCTCTATCAACCGTAGCTAAGGTGTTCCTCTAACGTTCCCAATGTATGAAAATGATAGATCACTGACGACTAAATGAAACCCGTGCAGCGCATCTTTTCTGCATTATTATGCTTGGTTTGCAGTATTGAAAACGCCACTCGCATGTCTGGGATGCTCACAGGAACGTTTTCCAACATGCAACAAATACCCCACAGGATTTCCAACATGCATCAAATACCCCGGCCCCAACCCAGCAGGGATGCGTGACATTGCCACAATCAAAAGATACACCTAAGTATATATCAGGCAAGCCGCAGGCCCCCGCCAAGATGTCTCAACAGGAATTTGAAGCCAGTGGGTTCAGCTTGGGAAATCTTCTTTGCAATTTTGCGAAGCCACTGGATGCCCTTCATGCGCACCTTTAGAATCCTTAGAAGCCTCAGCTTCTTGGCGCCAAAAACGAACAAATAAACAAACAAAGAAACAAAGAAAGAAAGAAACAAACAAACAAACCAAACAAACAAACACACACACACATACAAACAAACAAACACACTCTGTCTCTCTCTCTCTCACACACATCTATCAATTTTGCAGGCTTTCACGAACCTAGGTGTGTCAAACGCCTAAATGACCAGGGTAATGCAACAGAATTCAGCCATATCTCAAAAATCTATGAAAGCTCATGTCAAGATGCCGAAGTTCAAACCCCATGAAACGAACGACGAAAGACAAGAAGGGCGGTCATCGAACTCATTAGCACTTGACCGAAGAGTAGGGTGACAGCTTGAGAACACCACAACCAAGCAGGTACACTTCCATAGCCCCTTGCTCTATAAAAGCGTAACCGACGTGATTCCAGTGGTGACACGCACACACCCACACACAAGCAAGAAACGCCTCAAGAATACGCGCGACGCAAAGCACATGCGACCTGGAAGCGCAATCCTGGTTCGCCTTCCAGCGGTTGAAGGGCAACACCCTGGCTCCGTACCCCGTGCAAAAGTCAAGAGCTGCTTGCGCAGCAGCGTCCGCAAGCGCTAGCACCTCGTCGTAGTACTTCAGGAAGCTTTTTAAGGCAAACGCCTCGCCGGTCAAATCCTGCGCGCTTGAAAAAGGCACAGCGAAGAGGATCGCTAAACAAATTTGAGGTCTTGCATGGAATTCAAGTACTCATGGCGGACACTGAGTATGCCCCTCATGAACATACAGCTCCTGGAAGCTGAGCCGTAATCGCTGGTAGGCTTCTGCATGATTGAGGATTCCTCTGAGGCACCTGGTCATGCTCAATGTTAAGTTTCAGACGTTGAACGTTGAGTTTCCGTACCCAAGACGATGCCCAAAATAGGACAGCCTAAAGGGCACTGCTACCAAGAAACAGCACATGAAAAACTGCATCGCATGGAGAACAGCTCTGACAAAGCCAGTGGCAATAGAGGGTTGTTCTGTCCAGCAACCAGTGAGCTGAACCATGTCTTGTCCTCAATGTAGTAAAGAACTGAACGCTTCAGGATTTAATGGAAACAATATGCATATGCAAATTGCATACGCCGTCCTCCCCCTCAAAAAATTGTATGACAAATCAAGATGCGCAAACCTTGAAAAATGCAAGGCGCGCGTGGAAGGCTGGACCAAGGACAGACGTGTCGATGGAAAACAACCTGAGCCCAGACCATCCAAGGAAAGAATGGCCGAAGCGCTGTCTTAGCAAAACTAGGCTGCAACGCCGGCCACGGAAACTCTGTAGAGACAAAATCGTAGGACGACGTGTTGAGCAATGCGAAGGCTTCTCAACCAAACAGTATGTATGTCTCCTCGAGTTTTCCCCACTGTTTGTGGTAGGTTTTCTATCTCCAACTCATAGATACAATACTTTTCTGTATGAAATGCGTCGATCCCGGGTACCTGGAAATGATCCAAGGACATTTGTGGAGTCATGATATGTGGAAAGCACGGGGCTCTGCAATGCTGCTACCCAAGATACTTTTTGATCGCTGGCTCGGCTCTCATCTCTTGCAAGGGTTGCCAAATGCGACGGGCTTGGATCGTTAATGCCGCCACCCACCAAATGGCAAACGCCTTCATCCGATAAATCGCTCCAAAGACTCCTGCTCAGAGGCGCCCGCTAGAAACAATTCAGCCCACTCCTAAGGCACACCCTTGCTACTACTCCGGCAAGGGACTCCAACTATGACCGCTAGAACCCCAGAGTCTGGAAGTCTGTGCAGGATATGCGCATGACCTGGTGTCTTAAGAGCTCTGTCTCCAGTCTTGAAAGCACTTGTGTCTCCGATCTAAAACAGCTAGCGACCATCAAAAAGCCAGAAGACAGATGGGGAACCCTGATCGGCGCGGTCCCTTATTGCTAGAGTCCCTGTGTCAATAAAAGAGGCCTCGCCTGAGCACACCTTGCAAAGCCGCAGGACCGCTTTGTCTTCACGATGCTCAATCAGGCCCACTTCTCTCAAGACATGTTCCCTGAAGCAAGCGCATTGTGGAAGTACACATTGTTTGGACTACGTGACAGTGATCGACTGCCTAGTGGCCCACATACAGGGGAACCTTCGGAAAAAAATCGTAGCCTGAGAATCAAGTTTATGTTCTCCCTGCTGCCATTTCTATAAATAATTACCAACATACAGCGCAAAGATCATCTTCCTGGTGTTCTGACAACAAAAATTTCTTGCATTGGCTTTCTAGCATCTCAGGCACGCGCAAGCAAGTTTTCCAATGCCCCTTATCCCGTGGTCTCCGAGCGGCTGACAGTGCGAGATTGGATCCGGATTCGATCCGACCACAGTCTTGCACAAGCAGCACAAGCGCTGGTTGCTAGGCATGGCTGGCTTTCTAGTCAGCGTACTATTCCTATATCTCTGTCTCACTGGTTTGGAGTATGTACCGTTGCGCATGGCCTATTCAGCCTATTCCTTGACCTGGAGCATGCATGGTCGTACACACGTTTTGACGACATCCTTCTGGGAAGTCCTAGGTGTCTAGACATCGGCCAAGGCAAGGCTGGGAGCCAAAGAACCCTAGATGTAATGGCACGCCGTCGTGTCCAGTTCTTACGGCCATGACCACACCAACTGATCTGACTTCATGTTGAACAGCACACACGACGCAAGTCCCTTGGGCCCCATACGGACCTCAAGAGCGAGATGGACTGCGAGCACCTATGACATAACCTTAGCTCTGCTGCCGGATGTAATATGTAGACATGTAAATGTAAACCAAACTGTGAGGTTACTTAGCGTCATCAACTTCTATATTCTATACTAAGGGTATGGAATCAATAGAAAATATTGTTACAATCATGCGCGCTCATTGATGGTATAAAAGCAGCAAGTGTATTATGGATATACTAATTTTGTCACAATCATGCGCGCTCTCATGCGCGCAGGCATTCGCTCCTTTGGTCGCTTGCTTGCATCAACTGCTATATGAAGCATATAGAACCAGTAAACGCTTTCCAGTATTGTTGAAAATAATTTGTTACAACCATGCGCGCGTGCGCTCGCGCAAGTGTCTCCGTGCGCTCGATGCGCGCGCATAGTCCCTGCGCGCTCTTACGCGCGCATGCATTCACTTGTTTGGGTGCATGCTTACATCAGTTTCC